GTATCATAATTTTCCTTATTTAACGCCTCGATTCGTGTAACGGCTGATAGGTTCATCTTGAACGTATGAGTATTCCTTTGGTTTTCAAAGAGAGAAATCACGCGGATGTTCAAGAATGTTCTGGGCCCATAACCTATTAGCGAGGAAGGACGATGGTGATCGGGCGAGAAACGTAGTTGTACACCTCGAATTTTATGAATACTGAATATTTATTACACTCAAAAAGATGACAGAATATAGAGTACACTACTGCGAACAAAAATAGTCTTTGTGTAGATTGCACTTCTTTTGTGAGCACTTCGGACGATTCGATGTCGTCTGTCGTTGTTCAAGCGAGAGAGAGCCGGAAGTAAGTGGCGGGTAAAGAAGAAAGTTAGACAAGAGACGAGAGCGCCTCTGGTGGGTCTTCCGATTATGACGCGCAAGCTCGATCTCCAACATTATATTATTTTATAACATATTTCAAATTCTTGCTAATGCGTGGCTGGTACACAGTCACATATCTGCCGGCTGGTTTACTGAATATAGCATAAAATGTAATAATAATAGTGATCCGACGACTACAAAAGGTTTTAAGGTATGTTTTTATGTTAAGTATTGGATGAAATTAGATTGCTGAATTATAAAAAACGTAACACATATTGTATGTAAAACCAATGCAATTACATACATTTCCTTTTCACACTTTAAACATGTAATAATTAATATTTTTCAAATACAAATTTGTGCATTTCAGCTAATAACTATTTCATGGTGGCTATTAATATTAAAACTAATTGATTATATNGAAACGTGTATATTTGTTTTACGGAAAAAACAGAATCAAGTTTCTACTTTGCACGTGTATCATCATGTGTCTAATGTCTTTTTTGGATGGTGTTACCTCAAATACATAGTAGATCCCAGAATGACATTTNTGTCTTTACTTAATTGTTTTATACATGTTATCATGTATATATATTACTTCATTGCAGCATGGAGCACAACCATGCAACAAAAAGTATCTTTTTTTAAACCTCATATTACGAAGTTACAAATGGTAAGTTTTACATTATATACAAGTTTGTAAAGTATGTATATATTACGCATGTATCATATAAAACAAAGTTTGTACATTATATTCTACAATTGAACTTCATACATATTGTTAGTAACTGTCCACTTAATTAGGCGAATTTAAATTATTTTAACGTTCCTATGGTAAATTTATTTTACATAACAACAATATATTTTGAAATTATAACCTTTAAATAATATAAAGTATTTGTATAATATATCATTATAAGTGCGTGATTATTAATATAGTTTCTATTCACAACATTATAGACGCAGTTTGTTGCTTTAATATGCTATGGACTACAGGTTTTTCTAGATCCAGAATGCAAAGGAGTACAACGAGCAAAACAATTTATATTCGTATTTAGTTTGAACTTGCTACTATTTCTATACTTATTTTATGACTTTTATAAAAAGACATATGGCACAAAACAGAAACAGAAAATTGCAAAACACGAAGAGTAAAATTTATGTATGTACAAACAGGGTTGTGAAGTAACACGTTATTTGTAACGTCGTTACCGTTACAGTTACCAAAACCAATTCTTACATCTTTGTAAATGTACGCTGAAACGAGTGGCCGTGAGAGTTGTAAAANAATACTATAAGATATGAGATAGCCGCTTCTCTTTATTTTAAATCACATCATTATGACATGTTATATTTGTGAGTAACCAGCTTTTTTTGCTAACATTCAATTTACTAGCCAGTTGTCTTTGCGATAGATTTGGATTTTTATCTAAAAGTTTCTGCAAATCTTTATGTTTAAACTTCTTTCTCTGCATGTAGNATAAGTTCATGCGTTTTCCAAATTTTTGCGGATTTCTCATGGTTTGTAAACGTTCCCAAATACATGTTTGTGAAACATTCATTTCCTGGCCAGTTCCCATTGCGATNTATTTGGATTTTCATCTAAAAGTTTCTGCAATTCTTCATCAGATCCAAATATGGCTTGCCCTACTTCCAAATCAGGTCCGGATCCGGTGATCTAATAAGAGCCTTGTGCAGTATGTAACGCTACGTATCAAATGGCCCTGATCAGGCTGCCGGGTTCGATCCTGATCAGGCTGCCGGATTCGATCCTGATCAGGCTGCCGGACTCGATCCTGATCAGGCAAATAAATTAGGCTCTGATCAGGCTGCCAGATTAGACTCTAATCAGGCAACCAGATGTAGATCGGATGTTTTTATCATCGCATTCGAAGTAATAATTAATAAATGCATATTTTTAAATTTAACAAAGGATTTATTTTNAAAATTATGAAACTTTAAAAAAACCTATAAACATTACCTTTTTGGAACAAACTGATTTTGTCCNAAACAAATTTTGGAATAAACAATGCATAACTATATAACAATATATAACAATATATTTGTACTGTTTAAAAAGTAAATAATATATAATAAATATTTTTAGATTATATAATAATAGCTAATAATATAATAATATAGATATTTTTAATTAACGCCATTTGTTGTACTTTTTTTTTCAAGATTTTAATTTTTATATTTTTACTTTTTTTCGGAAAAGTCGTTGACCCCAGTCTTTTATAAAAGTATATGAATATACTATATTAATTCGTATAATGTGAATAAAATTATTTAAGATTACATACCTGTAAAATGTAGATTGTTTTCGTAATTTACAAAGTAAAATTATATAAAAGTGGATACTACTAATATCCTTTATATATGTTAAATGTTTTTCAATATTCCAAAAAAAAAAAAACTTGAAGTATCACAATAACTCATATTAATAATTAATAAAAATATATAATACATTTTTAGATGTTTTATTATCAATAATATTAGTACTTTTTATAAAACAAAAAACAATAACATCTTGAAAAAGCATTTCACGTTATATGCAACAAGAGCGCAACGTGAACATGTATTGTGTCACGCCTTATAGCCGGTTTCGTGGAAAGAAGACAAAATATAGTAGGTTTGCACTTTTCCACGAGTCAACAATCGAGCGTGACATTAGGTTTGTTTTTTTTCCCTGAACTGGATGCACTACTTCAAGGAAAAAAAACACCTATTATGTACACGGACGGCAGCAGAGATGCCAGTTTGCGGAGTCCGTGATGGTACGGTACCATCACTAGCGCCCGACCGTAACCATAAGCTCAAGACGTAACAGCAGTTTTACACATATAAAGTAAGATATAAGACGCTCGTTATATGTAAACAAAAATACGGGAGATTAAGTCGAGCCAAAACACATTGATATATTTAGATAAAAGTGATCACTGTATACTGACTTTCCATATTTTTATTATTGTTTACATATATATATACAGGGTGTCCCAGAATTGGTGTGACATCTCTCGTAGGCAGGTAGAAAGAGTAAACCTGAGTCGAAAAGTCCTGAACCATTTTTTTCTATTATTTATAATAAAGAAATAATTATTGAGTAAATCAGGCCAATCAGCGCCGATCTTTAGCCAGGCGCACGTCAGTAAACCGCGCGGAGCGCTCACATACACCAGGCGCGTGGCTCACTGACGTGCGCCCGGCTAAAGGTCGGCGCTGATTGGCTTGATTTATTCAATAATTACTCCTTTATTATATGTAATAGAAAAAAATAGTTCAGGACTTTTTGACTCAGTTTTCCTCCTTCTACCTACCTACGAGAGATGTCACACTAATTCTGGGACACCCTCTGTGTGTGTGTGTGTGTGTGTATACACATATAAAATTTTATAAAAACCATAAGGAAAGAACTTTATAAATCTCATTTTTGTAATTTTAGAGGAAAGCGATTTTAGAGTTCGAAATGTATATGTATTGTTACACGTTTTATAAAAATATATATATATATTTATATCTTGGAATAATATATAAAAATATTTATATCTTAGAATCTATCAAAAATTTCCCTTTCTCGCTTTGAATAATAATCAAAATACTCCATTTTAACTACCAAGGATATTAGGATTTTCTTCTTTTCTAGTGACTAGACTTCTCTAGGTATGATCTTAATCTGCAATTCACATAAAAAATCTTATGCGTCGGGACCATTTGCTAACTGTGATAACTGTTGTAGCTCTTACAAGTTTTACGGAGTCTGAAATCAACCTGCGACTCAAATAGTTTGTAACTTTTACAGAAACTGTAAAAGTACTTTAACTACACTCAAACGACCTACTGTTACTCTGACGTATATTTACAACGCACGCAAGCGCGACGTGGCAAACGAAGTACCAATAAACAAACAATGAACGTGCGCGCGAAATTCACTTCTGAGCGCTTCTATGCCGCGAAATGATTGTTCGATATATTTTCGGCATATACAAAATTTTATAGGTGTTCAAAACTAAAAATGTTTATCATTAGTTTTGCCCTCTTACAATGTATTTAAGTCAAAAACATGCACAAATTACTGTCATGCGACTGTTTGCCTATAAAACGTAAATGTTTCCAAACTTATGGAAAGTACTGTACGTGTTACTAATGATGTATAAAATAAAACAAGATGATAAATGTGTTACTGATACAATAGTAAGTGGTTACAGATAGAAATTTTATCTTGTATTAAAAATTTATGTTTATATGTGAATAAGTTGCATGTAATGTACTTTAGACAGTAAAAACGAAAATGTTACTTTTAACATTTTTTGCATGTCCCAGGAGGTCTACTCTAAATTTTGAGTTAAAATAACTCATTTGTTGTGAGTCACACCATATCAATATTATGTTAATTTTACATTGAAATAATAATCCAAATGTCGTAACACAAGAAAAGTTCTACATTTAGACGCATGATTTTTTACTGTGTAGTTTTTGGTGTATCTGCGCCAAGGTTTTGTTTATTAAATATTTTTTATTCGAAAACAGTTTTACATGAATTTTTGACTTTTACACAAAGCGAAATCGATGAACGTATAATTCGATATAGGTACATTTTATTAGGAAAAAAAATAAACGACTGGGTTTGTGTGAAGAATTAATTTTTTAAATATTTTTTTAAACTATAAATTATACATATCACACGTATACTTTCTTAAGTAACGTTAATGTTTATTATATCACTTCTTTTCTAAAACAGATTTTGCAAAGAACATTTTTGTAGAAATACATGTTAGAATTTCGCAGTAGTATTATATGCACAATAATATTTTGTTTTTTGCACAATAATTTTTGTGTGAGTTTCAGTTTTTTACAAACTACATAAAGAATAATTACGTTCTTTTTTTGCATTTCTTACGAGTTATTGTATTAGCTATTTTTTCACATAGGTTTTTATTGTATACGCAATTTTATATATATATATATATATTTTTACATTACACATTTAAAAATAAAATAACAAATGTAAAGTGTCAAGTACTCAACAGCACTAGTTTGTCAACGACAAGCACATGACAAATGAGTTACTTTCCTACTCTCTCAAGTAGAATCAGTATATTGAACTGACGATTAAAATATCTACTGATTAGATAATTGTAAGTTTTCCACCACGAGAATCAGTATTTTACTACATCATTTAATTAAAGCGCTTTTACTGTGCGAATCAGTATTAGTCAATCACTGGATCAATCTGTAAATATAAAAATAATTTATAACATAAAAAAATTGTTTTATAATTAGTTTATAGTTTCATACTTTATGTCTTCGAGTAAGTTCTCTCTTGTGGTTATTATTAATATTAATTTGTAGAAAAAAAATCTTTGCGTCAGGAATCAACTTGACTGAACTCGAACCTCGAAATCGTCTGATTATCAAGCGAGCACTCTATCACTTCAGCCATTGAAACTTTTGACGTCAATTATTTTTAAAATTAATATATTAATGCCATTCAGTGATGTTACTGATTCTCAGTAAAATTATTTGTCATTAAATCAATCAGCGAAATTTTAACTGATTCCCAGTAAGAAAACTAATCTGTCACTGACACCTAATCTTAAAAGAGACATTCTTTCACTGTGAATATGATATTATGACTGATTCCCAGTAAAATTTTTTGTCATTGAATCAATTAGTGTAATTTTAATTGATTTTACTTAAAAAAGCATTATTTACATAATGCTTTTTTACATAATGCTTGTTCCAGGAAGTTCTCAAATTGAAATTAACATTTTCTTTTACTACGTACTCGTAAAAAACAGTTATAACAATCCGATAGATATACTTTATTCTAGTATATCTATCATCATAAAATTTGATTTTATGTTAATAGGATTATTAAAATTATATATAAAATTTATGATTTGAATAAAATCATTATTTATGATGATTTTATCATCATAAATCTTTATTTATAACGATAAAAGAAAACACATAAAATAATATTCATGCAGATATATTTTCATCTATTTTTTAGCTACTTATGCATTGTTGTTATTTTTGTTAGTACATTTTTCAAATGTCAACCATATTACGTAACACTTCTAATACCAAATACCTACTTCTAATAAATGCTACTCATACAATTTGCTTTTATATACTTCATTCTGTATTTAAATTAATGATAATGGAAATTCGAGAAACGACAATATTTTATTATCTATTGCACACTTTATGTATCGTTTTATTTCCTCGAAAGTACAAACTGGACCACCACATTCTGCAACAGGAAGCGAGAAAAAAGTGTATAACATTATGTTAAAAACAGATACACCTAATAAGATATATATTCAATAAGATATCACATTGATATATAATTTAAATAATAATAAATATTGAGAACAAAATTAAGCAGTAAACATATCACTACACAGTAAAAACTTTCTACAAAAAACATAGATTTTCTCAAAATAGGTAAAAGTATGTAGTAAAATCTATATAGATGTATTGATTACCTAAATCAGTGCAATGCTTGATGATCTTTTGACATCTTAGTATATTTGAAGAACTCAGAAAAACTTTTGAACAATATTCGTTTAAGTCACTTCTAATCATTTTATCTTCTTGACTGATCTAGAAGTGATGTAATATAGTTAGTAACTTACTCTATACTTGTTCGAAATGAATTAAAAAAACAATGGTACAGAAAAACAAACTATTCAACATTTAGGTTTGTATAAGTTAATTTATCGTGTGTGTGTATGTATTTTTTTACGTTTTATATAACGTTTATGTTGTGTTTTATTTGATTAGTATTTTATTCAGACTGCTCTTCAAATCCTGATGAAGCAAGCTTAAATGTTCACGAAATGTCAATATAAAAATAACACTAATAAGGGGTCAAGCCCGAAAAACATCTTCAAATGTTAATACAACACACCGAGTAAACATAAAATATCAGATTAATATTTTATTCTCTTTAATGTTTATGTAAAGAAATATATAAATAAATATTTATGCATAAACTCATATATGTATAAGTAAAGAACGTACTACACCATCTTTCTTCAATGCGCAGTTGGAAGCATCGACGAAGATATTGAATTCATTTTCTACAACATATAAAGACATGTATATAATATTTGAATAAATCGCAGCTAAAATAATTTTGATTGCTCTTTGTGTGTATCTATTGAAATTATCTTGAATTAATAAAAACTGCATTTTATATGCAAAATAAATTCAGTACTATTAAGTAAACTTCTTAGAATTGTTAACTTTCAGTCACATAATGTTCAATCATATACTGTTCAGCACTTACTCAAGATGTTTTGCAAATTGCCAGAACTCTTATCGAAACCTGAAATTTGGTTTAAAGTACTATTTTTGAAACAGGTTACCACGCTGTCATAATAAGCTGCAGGTCGCAACAGACTTGCACAAGTATGAATGGCCATCTAAAATTAATAAAATAATTGAACGCAAATGATGTAACCACAAAAAAAATAAAAGCATTATTATATTTGTTACGATGCAATACAATATTATACACGTAAGAATAAGTGCAGTCACATATTTTGCGCCAATTTTTTCAAACTAAGTAGATGTGATCAGATTTTGTCAGTCTTAAATGTGATTCATATGTGATCTGATCTGATCTGATCTGATCCGAAAAGACAATATGAGCAGATTTTATATTACACATATAAAATCATATGTGACATATGTTTCTATGTTTTTTCTGTTAAATCTAGTATTTTTGTGGTTTTTTTTATAAATTGTGTTTAATTAAATATCTCTCTCTGTTTCTAAGCTCTTTTATAAAAAAATTAATAAATTAACCTTAAAATATATCTAAAGTTATACTTTTTATTGACTTATAACAACGTAGGAATATCAAGTTAGTAAAGTAACGTCCACACGTATATAATGGAAGCAAGAAATGTGTAAGGATAAAGAAAAACTTTAAAGACAAAATAAATAGAAAATGTAAAGATAAAAAATGTACAAGCAAGTTGGTTTAGAACAAATTCAAGAATTATAATTTTTATAGATTTGTATAAGACTCACCAAGACGCAAATCGTAAATAAGATAATCTTCATTTTGCTGCTTTTCGATTAATTTAATTCAATTGTTCGATGCAACAATTCGAGCAACACTATGTGGAACATGAAAATTTCGATGGCATTTATACGCAAAACTGATGTGTGTTTTACTGATAATGATGTACGTACTGAAAAACACAAATAATGTACAGTACTCTCTATAAGTTGGAAACACATTTTAAAAGTGTGCAAGATAAGATAAAACACACGTAATAAAATCAAGTTTTGTATGAGTAATCGGCCAATAGAAACCAAGTGCAAAGTTTTATTCGCAATAATGTAGACGAAACTGTGTGTCGATGTCGAAACGTTTCAACTTATATTTAAGTCATCTTCAGTCAACCGACTATAATAAATACATTTTCAATTTACAAAATGATATAAAATAGATATAAAAAATATAAAAAATATAAAAAATATTAAAAAATATGAAAAATGGATCTCATCTACAAAAGTAACTTACAATTAGAAAAGTCAACACTTGAACGTAATATTGAAATATGAAAGTATGTACTGCACGATTAGATGAGTCATGCTCAAGGAGATAATAATAATCGAAAGGCAAAACAATATGTTGTCAAAAGTCGTTGAATGTGTAAATCTGTGAGAAAAAATGTACAAGAGTCAAAGTTTATCGATTATCGGTAAATATGTTTCATCTGATAGTTCAGTATCTTTCATAATGTTTAAATTATTGTCTTTCTGTAATTTAATAAATAGCATCTCAGAGGTCAATCGTTTAAAATAATTCGGTTCTTTATCAAGGATTTGGACGGATTTCCAATTAAAAGAATGATTAAAATTTCTGCTATGTGTGGCCAATACTGAAGTCTCTTGATCTTTCTTCACATAATTCTTATGTTCTTTGATTCTTGTGGAAATTTGTCTTTTGGTCTGTCCTACATAATTAAAATTACAAGATGCACAATCTATTTGATATCTACTATTCTGTAGTTAAATATGAAAAGTTGAGTAGTCAGTTATTATATTGTAGGTATATTATGTACATGTTACGTATAATATAAGTTGTATTACTGAATAAAAACACATTATTTTTACTATGCACAATCTATTTGATATACTACATTTTTTTGTTTATCCGGAGGAATCGGATCTTTATGAGTCTTAATATAGGTGTTCAATTGTAAGATGTTTCTATATGCTATTTTGTATTTGATGCTTTTGAAGAAATTATTGAGCTGATCAGTATTAGCCAATATATGTAGTAAGACGAAAAATTGAGATGGTTCATGGTCCTGTATTGTGTTTGTTTTATGTAATTTTTTAAGTCTTCTATTAATATTCTTGAATATAATATCTAATGGATATTGATTTTTAATTAAGACATCAATAACAAATTGTAAATTTTTCTTGTGAAATTTCGGATCAGACAGCTTTATCGCTCTATCAGTTAGTGACATGACAGTACCAATCTTATGACACATCGGGTTGTGTGATAAAAAATTCAAATATCTACCCGAGAACGTCGGTTTATGATACCAATCACAAACCAATATGTTATCCTCTCTAATAATATGTGTGTCTAAAAAACTAATACTCTCATTAGACTGCATTTCATGTGTAAATTGCAGTCTATTATGGATTGAATTAAAAACGTTAAGTATCTCCATAACTTGTTCTTTTGGAACAGCCAGTAAAATGTCATCTACATATCTGTAGTAAATGGGAATGTTTAACGTTAGAGAGTTGAGTACTTTTATTTCAAAATCTTGCATTGTGATGTCTGCCAATAATGGTGACAATGGAGAGCCCATTGGGATTCCGAATGTTTGTTTATATATTTTCTTATTAAACGTGAAATAGGTAGAAGTTATAACAAATTCCAACGCTATTAAAAATTCTTGTTTGCTAATTTTAGTATACATTTTTATGTATTTCCATCTCCTGGCTACCCCTTCTAGTGCAAGTTGAGTTGGTACATTAGTAAAAAGAGATACCACATCGAATGAACAGAGTGTGTAACTCTGATCCAACGTAAAACCTGACAACTTTTTATAGAGGTCAAAGCTGTCTTTTATACCGAATGGAGAGTTTGGAATATTTTTATAAATGATCTTGTGTAAGTATAATGCAAATTTGTGTAATGGACTGTCAATTGTTGATATGATAATTCGGTACGGACAATTATTTTTGTGGATCTTAGGAACTCCATAAGCCCAAGGTAAAATTTGATCATTGTTGTAAATTGAGTTCAATTGTATCTGATTTATAAATCCCATCAAAACCCATCGTTCAAGTAAATTTTTTAATTTATTATTGACTGACCTCAATGGGTTTTTATCAATCAAAGTGTACGTATTTTTATCTTTTAAAATATTGTTCATTTTAGAAAAGTATTGAGATTTAAGAATTGCTACCGTGGAGTTACCCTTATCCGTCCTGGTGATAATGATGTTATTGTTGACAAAGATGCGTGTGGCTTTTGCTATTTTCAAAAGGTCAATCTCAATTTGTGATAAAGAATTATATATATATATATATATATATATATATATATATATATATTTGCATTAAGATGCGTATTTAATTTACCCTTCCCATTAGACACAACAAAAACATAACAGTGATTAAAACAATCAAGGACGTTGAATGCAACATCCGTAAACTCAACATAACAATGAAATCCAACATCCGTAATCACATGTCGTCTTATTTAAATACGCATCTTAATGCAAATAATTCTCTATTCTAAATTTTGTTGAGAAGAGCAAGAAATTACTAGATTTTCTTGTTGATCGTAAAGTTATTCATGGACATATTAAATGTCTACGATATAGCGCAGATGTGAATTTAAATTGCGAATATATGTTTTGTATGCATCTACCGGAACGTATGCAAGCGTTTTTTGATATTATGGCAAAACATTATCCGCTTTCAATATAAAAAGAAATAAAATATCTGTATATAAAAATAAAATATCTGCGTGTGTGTGTGTGTGTGTGTATTAGTCATTCTTTATTTTTTCTTATTTTTTCATTTCATAGGATCCTATTAAATGTCGCTTCATATCAAAAATATCTACGTGTTTTTTGAAGGAGAGAGCAGAAGGAAGGGCGAAGACACTTCCCTACAAGCGTACAACACGAACAAAAAGAACATAAACTATAGTATTGTTCAGAAAAATTTTAAATTACCACATCTCCGAAACCAAGGCCCCCACGAAAGTTATTTAGATAATTAAACCCGAGAAAAAAAAGAAACATATGATCATATAAGATTATATACTATACGTGATCACATCGCGTCAAATTTCGGATTTGATTTTACACGATTACTTAAAACCACGACTTATATAAAATCTTATATGATCATATAAAATATCATATTCGACTTTTATATGTAATCCCATATGATCACACGTTTACCATTTNTTCTCGGGAAGTATGATCTGCTCTGTAACATATCTAAAGCGCATCGAAATTGGTGAGATGTGACCTAAATTGCGTATTTATCTATAGGAGAGACTTTAGTTGTCTCACGAAATTAGTTGTCAAACTGCTATTATCTTGCTCACTAAATCTTGGAAAATATTCTTCTTTACATTGTAAGGTGTTACTATTGTGTTAGTACAAAATAGCTTTTCTTAAAAACATGATATATGATATTTACGAGCACTTTTGTAAAACTGGGCATGAAAAGTAGATTTTTCTTATCTTGATTTTTTAGTAATTTCACTGATTTTTAAATTTTGAATTGCAATTTTATCTTAGGTATAAGAAATGTGGTATTTTTAAATACGTTTTTTCTATATTTCTTTAATTGTCATTGCATTGCAGTTTATAAATATAACATCTTTTATTTAAAATAAACGTTTGGAGTAATTTGATTCATTCTTGCTGGAAAAAATTTTCCAAAGATGCGTCTCACTCGTGATTCGCTTTTTGCAGATTTCCTGTCTAACTCATCTCGTAGTAGTTTGTTTGAGTTACAATCTGCGGACTGAAGCCATTTTATGATTTTTAAGATTTTTTTTTTCTTATTTTCGACGTATACAAGCTTATAAGTTTTATAATAAAAGTAGTAATCATTTTTGTCGTCTTATCAATGTAATNAAGCCAAAAACATGCACAAATCGTTGTCATGCCGATTGTTTCCCTGTAAAACGTAGAAAGTTTCCAAACTTATGGAGAGTACTGTACGTGGTACTAATAATGATGTATGAAATAAAACAAGATGATAAATGTGTTATTGATACAATAGTAAGTGGTTACAGATAGAAATTTATTTTTGTATTAAAAATTTATGTTTATATGTGAATAAGTCGCATGTAATGTACTTTAGACAGTAAAAAAGAAAATGTTAATTTTAACATTTTTTGTATGTCCCAGGAGGTCTACTCTAAATTTTGAGTTAAAATAACTCATTTGTTGTGAGTCACAACATATCAGTATTATGTTAATTTTACATTGAAATAATAATCCAAATGGGTAAATGTACAGAAAAGGTCACCCCCCTCCGATTTCAATGAGCTTGACATATGTTGTCAAGGACACCTTCCTGAGTAACAATCC